GAACGGAGGCAAAGCGGGCCGGGGCCGGCCTGGCAGGGGTATCCGGCCTCAGGACGCTTTGGGGATGCCCAGGTGGGCGCGCCCAGGACACCGACTCCCCCAGGACGGGGCGGACCCGGACCGCCTCTCAGCTCCGTTTGGAGCCGGAGCATTTCTATTACCGGGTTCCGTTATGTATTAAAATCACTTTAAAATACAGCGCAGGCAGGGGATCCTGGGGCCTCTCCTGCGCCCGCCAGGGGGCGGTGTGGGGCCCAGGGCTTGGGGCTCCCCCACAGCTCCGTTCCCGGTGGGGGGCACGGGGGGCCTCCACCAAACCCCTCGCCGGTCTAAGGTAAAAGAATACTCAGTCACAACACTTATGACTTAGTCTCTCTCTGACCCAGAAACACACGAATCTGCTTGACAGCATTGCTAAGTCCAGGAACTAATACTGTTGGGAATCTTCTAATGAGGTTTGGGGTTTTTAAATGTCCCAAATAAAAATCCTTTACCTCTAAAAGATTAACCGAGTAAGAGTAGCCGTTTTTACCTCCCCCTCACCTTCATGCCCAAGAAAATAAATGTTAATGGCTCTTTAATTTGTAGTATTGCTTCTAATACTGTGTTAAGCTTAGTGTGTTCAAAGCATAATTAACTTTTTGTCCTTCTCAAACAAACTTGATATTAGAGCTGCTTAAATAATGTCTATTTTATTCTGGACCTCAGCTGAGAATATAATACTTAGACTGTTACTTTAGAGTTTTGAACTTTGACATTTGCCCTTGAAGAGCCTTCTGTAAAGACTTTAAGACACTTCAGGGAATAGTGGTTGCTGCTGAGGATGGTGTGTGACCATAATGTTCACGTAAGTCATGCAGGAACTTGTTTATGGGACATGTACGGGGAGGGGCTGCAGCCCTTTCCGGGGCGGCTTCCCGCGTGTCCCTGCGGCTCTGGTTCCTGGGCAGCGCGGAGGTGGCCGTCAGTCAACCGTCCTGCATCGCCCGCCCGTCCTCCCGGGGCCTGCTGGGCGGACAGGCCGGGGGTTGGGTGGGTCCTGTGGGCTCTCCCCGCAGCCCCTGACCCCGCCCACCGCCCTGACCTCACGCATCACGCCGACCCCACGCACCGCCCTGACCTCACACATTATGCCGACCCCACACACCGCCCCGACCTCACGCACCATGCTGACCCCACGCATCGCCCCGACCTCACGCACCATGCTGACCCCACACACCGCCCCGACCTCACGCACCATGCTGACCCCACGCATCGCCCCGACCTCACGCACCATGCTGACCCCACGCACCGCCCTGACCCTGACCCCACGCACCGCTGCTCTCCAGTATGAAAGATAGTTTATTGAATCTCTGTCTCCATTAAAGTCGTCAAACATGAAAGCCCTGCAGCGCCCACGCGGGGCGCCGCCATATAAATAA